GGCTTGGCATCCTTCTCAACACTCACTTCTCAATTTTATCACTCTCATCTCCTCCTCCTCCTCCTCCTCCTTCAACATGCACTTGCGGTGCTCAGCTTTCACCTTCTCTTCCACCTCTCCACCAATCCGCTGCTGCACACCACGACCTCCACCTCCGTTTTCACGGAACCCACAGCTCACCGAGGACGCCTCTCACTCCACTCTCCCACACCACACCTTGCAACTCGGCTGGCTCTGCTGCTGCCCCTACTGCTGTACCCTCATCACCCTCTTCCCCAAAGCGAATAATACTTAGTGTCTATGCAGAAAACACATTCTTGCAGGATCCGTGTAGCCATTTCAATTGGCACATACCCATACTACTCATACTGTGTCTCAGCGAATGCAAAGGCAATGTTTCAATCAAGATTGGCAATTTTGCAGACAACAGGAAGAGTGCTTTATTCCCAGCTTGTTAGATTATTAATTTTACTGATTACAAGGCAGGAAGGAGATGTTAAAGCAGTGAGCGGCGCTAACTACCACACACACTTACTAGGATCTCTTAAACAGACAGTGTTTGATTAGTCCCCGTCAAAGTGGGTGACCACAGCTGGAGGGGTTCGGCTCATGATCTGTCTTCCTTTGCAGACGATCCTATTACAAACTAGTTCTATAATGTTCCATACGTCTATGAAATAAGAAGTTTGATTCCGTACGACACGAAGTGGTTCAGCCAGGCTTAACTAGTTCTACCATGTCTTTCACCATGGAGGATGACGTATTTGTGTTCTGAATGGAGATATCACAGTCGGAAAATCCAATTGTCATTACCAAATATGCATCCAAATTCAGCAAATAATTTATTGCAGGACTTGTTCCTTACCATCTCTTCCTTTCATATGTGCGGAAGATATAGTGGAGTAAGCACGCAAATGGTGGATTGCGCATTTAGGATCGTTAAAGTAGTTTTGAGGAGGGGAAGAACCACCTGGATGTAGATGCACTGCAGCATGGGTCTTCAATTTCTTTCCATTCAGCCAGTGATAATAATGCTAAAAGCAGTATTGTGGAGCATTATAAGGTTCCACTGCGCGTCATAGAGTGAGGTAGAATTGCAGTGTTGCAAGCAAGAATAAACTTGATGCGTTACATGGCAAAGCGTAGAATTTGACCTAACGCCAGTCAGGATTCAGACATGAATGCCGTATATGCCTGAGGAATAATGCTAGCTGTTGACGGTTAGTGAGCATCAACCCGACAATTGTGGCAGAGTTGAAGATTGCCTTATACGCTCATTTAGTTGATTTAAAGTTAACATTCATTGTACAGGCCAGCCAGGCAGTAAAGTTGAAAGTTGTGCGCTGGCTAGTCATGACGGAGATCACCATTGCCAATTCTTTACATTTGCAGGTTCGAACACCTTCCACCTTAAAACTACACGTTACCTTGTGAAAGGCGAATAACTCAATGTCACTGGACTTTGTCCTACTTCCCCTGAAAAGTGTGAAAAGGATGCACGAAACGGGGATGAAGTGAGCCCTATAAGCTCATCCATCCACGCTTAAGTTTGCATTCATTCTACATGTCGGTCAGGTATTCACACTGGAGGGTGAATTTGCCTTAGTTTTACTCAATGTATAAAAGGCAGAACTGAACGTATTGGTTCCTGTTAGACGTGTCTTGAATGAAGCTGATGGGAATCCAAAAGTTTGCCGTTTTTTTCTACAGCAGTGACCGATATTGGTGCAACAGTAAAGTCAGAAATACAGTGAGCATGACAAATGCAACATACACGCTGCATTTAGAAAAAGTCAAATTAGAAATGATTATGGGAATGGATGGGGAGTAACGCATTTCTTGGACTAGACAGCAGTCAGATGAATGGTCAAATTTTGGGTAGCACTCATAATTGAACAAATGAGTAGTAGGTAATCAGGTAGAAAGCACTACAAGTCGCTTTCACTTGTGCAGGAGACTTCACTGCGGGACTTGTCAGCTTCTACAGCTTCCATATACACCACTTGAGAGGTTGGGCGGAGAACGAGGGAGAGCGCTCTGAATGTCTCATCTCAAATGCGACCATGAATTCCTCGTCACAGGACAAACACTCGCCATTAAACTAAAGTATTATTGCGGTGGAGATAGGAAAGGGAAGTCCACGAAGTCAAATTTCGACAGAC